CCGTGACTGATGAAATCGTGAAACATTGCGCCATCTACTTTGCATTCTGCTGGATTTCTTTTTCTAGCCAAAAGCGAAAGTAATCAGTAAGCGCCTACAGTATTGGAAATTAAGTGAAACGACGTACAGTTTCAAGACTCTCTTGGGGCTGGCTGCATTTCAAGCAACAATGGGTCAGCCATGGTGGTTTCGCAACTGGTCAGATTGTTCTGTTCTTTTGTAACATTACTAAACGCCTACAGTATCGGAATTTAAAAGTGAAACGAACTATGATGACTCTGGTTCGTGTTCCGCCAAAAATATGCAAGGAGTCTCTTTTGCCCCTCTAAAAAGTATTGAGCCATCTACTCCCTCATGATTTAGCTTTGCAGACGATGGGTGAACGAATACTAAAAAATCACGAAACCTGGCAAAAACCAACTGTTCTTCCCAAATTCAACCTCAAGACAAAAAAATCGGGACGGCTCGATTTCAACAATCGCCTTTGATCAAGTCTACTGGGGCCGTTTTTGCTTGGCACCCCTTGTGTGGAGTAGATGGCGCAACTCAAGGAGCGTACAATGCCAAGTAGATGGCGCAACTCAAAAACCCTGTGCCATTTATATATTTTTTTTTGTGGTGTACGCCATCCCCACCAGCCGTCATCGCCCGCCTTCGTTCGATGGTCCCGCTCCACCGTGCGGATGGAATGCCCCACCAGGTTCCGGGACCTCGGCCGCGGCGAGGTGCGGAGGACCGAAAGGGAGCTGTTTTCATGGGGAGGGGTGGACCTGCTCTGGACCTTCTGGAGGGTATCTGGGTACCAAATCGACTTATTCCATGCAGGTATATATTATATGTATGTATATATGGCTGGAAGGTAAAAAAGGGATCCAGGAGACCGTCCGAGTGTTTCACAGATGCTGCAGGAGGAGGGAACATGTTCGGTGTGTTTCCGTTGATCGGATCTGCTCCACAGCTGACAGTCCAGAACACACGCCGGACAGTTGTTTCGTGCACGCATGCTGAGCACAAATCACTCACCTCACTATGGCAGGGCTTGGTTTCTGCTGTTGTCCGGGGTTCTCAGAGGTGAGTTCTCTCAAGGACTGGGCCCCAGCAGTCTGCCCAGCAGTGACTACGTCTCGAATCGGGTGGCTCGGAAGCAGGGATTCGATGATCCCGAATGGATGCAATGGGCACAGCACCCCGGTGTCCTCCAGTAGCAAGAACCAACAAACACTGAGCATCGATGAGGCACAAACACGTTTGGCCAAAGTGCTTCTCTGAAGAACACTCGGCGTTGTGATGGTCAAAACCTTCCGACAGTTCAATGGGAAAGGTGTCTGACTGTCAGACCTAGGACCTAGATAGTTACAGTAGTTGTTGTGATGCATCTTTGCGCCACTAAATCCTGTGTTGGTGTCGCTGGTGTTCTTCGCACAAAACCACAGGCAGTCCTCTCTTCGTGCCAAAACAGAACAAACACTCGTTGCGACCGAAGATGACTTCGCAAAGAACGTCGAAGGTCGTCTGCCTGCTTACTTATATGCCCCAGAGAAGCCATGCCCGTTTAAGTTCAAAGCTTCCAGGGGATCAAATCTCTGCAAATCGGACCATGAAAACGATGAAACATGTACCCAAACAAGTGGGCCCAACAAGCCCTCACCTCCTCTCACTTGGACCCACCCTCTCTCTCACCGTTTCGGGTGCGTTTGCTTTGGGTGTTCGGACTCTTTGGCATCCTCCTCCTCGCTGGCGACCTCCTGAGAGTCCTGGGCCTCCTCCACGGCCTATCGACATGGGCGAGTCATCAGAAGAGACATCGTCCCTGGAATGAGATGCGTCCGTTGGCAATGGGATACGGATAAAAACATAAATGAATGAATCCATGCATATGATGCATATTAATATACATATTCATACGTTGTCTATATATCTATTTCCATAACCTCTTCCCTTCACCGGTGGCCCCACCAAATAACATCTCGCCTCCGTCTAATCAACGGCCGCCGTTGAGAAAAGGGGCTCCGAAAAAAGGTTCCGGAACGGGAACTCGGAAGAAATGGCGGTGTTCTTTTGCATTGCTCGGTCAGGAACCGCCTGATGCACAATGGGAATCGCATCCTTCTCGCGCCAAAACATCTCCAAGCCCTGGCACTCGGTCGAAAAAGGGCGCCGTTAAGCCACGGCCAGAGGTCAGATGGAATCTTGAAGGACCACTAGCCGTAATTAAGGAGTATCCACCCTTTTTGTGCTGTCTTGAGCGAACCTTTTCTCAAAAGCCATTTGCTGCCCCCAGAAGCTTTGCTCATTCTAGAGTGATTCCTCTCTGTTTGTTAGTTCTCGGAGAGCGAATTTCGACGTCCAAAAATGGTGCATGACAACGGCTGAGACGGCATGTGCGAAAAACGAAAACAACCCCCAACGAAGAGGGCGGTGCGAGTTCCGGAGCTGCGGCCCTTGGCTTCACTGGTTTTTGGCTGATGATGTAAGTGTGTAGTGATGTGTAGGATGGAGGCTATCGCTCTTAGGTTGGCCATCGCTACTAGGTTGGAGGTCATTGGTAGGTGTTCAATCCGTGCTCGCTCGCTCGCTCGATCTCCAAACATCAACACCCCCGGGTGTTAAGCCTTGTCCAAGGTTCGAAAGGAAAGCACCGCCAGAACAACCGCCAAAAAGACCTCTGTCAGACAACCCCTCTTGGTCCACCACTCAGAAGAAGGAAAATGAGTAGGCATAAGTCTGCTCAGATGATTGCTCAATCAACCATCTCTGGCCCAACTATGAGAACAATCAGTCCTTTCAGGGGGGAACCGGAACCTACAACGAAGAGAAGCCCCAATCTTTGTGAATGACTCAGAAAACCTGCTGAACCTTCAGGTAACACCTTCAAGGGATGGACCACTGGTGAACTGCAACAGGTTCTCTGGAGCTTTATGCTTGCTACTACTAGGAGCTAAGGGCATAGCTACTAGGAGCAAGGACGCTACTACGGGCTCCTGGCCCTACTACTAGGACTAGGAAGAAGCGACTAGGAGAAAAGGACATCGCTACTAGGAGCAAGGACGCTACTAGGGGCTCCTGGCCTTACTACTAGGAGCAAAGGGCATCGCTACTAGGAGCAAGGACGCTACCAGGGGCTCCTGGCCTTACTACTAGGAGCAAGAAGCTACTAGGAGCAAAGGGCATCGCTACTAGGAGCAAGGACGCTACTAGGGGCTCCTGGCCTTACTACTAGGAGCAAGAAGCTACTAGGAGCAAAGGACATCGCTACTAGGAGCAAGGACGCTACTAGGGGCTGCTGGCCTTACTACTAGGAGCAACAAGCTACTAGGAGCAAGGGGCATCGCTACTAGGAGCAAGGACGGTACTAGGGCTCCTGGCCTTGCTACTAGGAGCAAGAAGTTACTAGGAGCAAAGGGCATCGCTACTAGGAGCAAGGACACTACTAGGGCTCCTGGCCTTGCTACTAGGAGCAAGAAGCTACTATAGGAGCAAAGGGCATCGCTACTAGGAGCAAGGACGCTACCAGGGGCTCCTGGCCTTACTACTAGGAGCAAGAAGCTACTAGGAGCGAAGGGCATCGCTACTAGGAGCAAGGACGCTACTAGGGCTCCTGGCCTTGCTAGTAGGAGCAAGAAGCTACTAGGAGCAAGGACGCTACTAGGGCTCCTGGCCTTACTACTAGGAGCAAGAAGCTACTAGGAGCAAAGGGCATTGCTACTAGGAGCAAGTGCTTAAGATCCATCAAACGCCGAAACCACAGAGTTCCGCACCATCAAGACGAAGTCGGCCAGGTACCTGCATGCGCGTTCCCCCTTGGGGGTGTGTTCCAAGAGCCTTCTCCAATCATTTAAGCAAGGCTTTCTCGCCTGGTTCGGGTGCTGTTTTGACGAATCAAACTATGTGGAAAAGGACACAGGATGTCTACTCATGAGAGGCTGTGCTATACATGGAAGGTGCTGCAACAGGCATCAATATGGACCCTTCTTCTGTCGGTGTGGAAGATTGCTGAATTATATAGCACATGCTTCATCCTGCGTCGGGTCTACTGATGTACGCACATGCACAAGTGTTCTTGCGTGATTTTAAAGAATGACGATTAAGATCAAGTATTGCGAGTATTGCTCCATGCATGTCTGTGACTATGTCTGTGCTATTGACTTTGTGAAGAAAACGTTGCAGACATCAAATGCAGAGGGTAGACCGGGTAGGGTAGTTTGCTACACTGTCCATGACTTAGTTCACATGTTTGTTGGCTCCGGATCCCACAGAGGCACTTGGACAAGAAGGATCCCACGATGGTCCCACCAATGGTCGCCGGCTCCTGCAGTCCGAAGCAATCCGAGGGAATCCGAAGGAACCCAAGACACACTCTTTGCGGGGGTCCAAAACAACGTGCGATTTGGGCCTCCCAATGCTTTTATATTGAAAGATACTGAAAGGAGAATGTTCAGATTGTCCTCCCTGTTCTCCCTAAGATCCTCTTCCCATTCAAAGAGTCTCAGACTTTCGGATGCTTTTGGATGCTTGTCCAGTTCTCCAGAGTCATGGACGTCATCCTCACGGATTGACGTCCACTGAGACCGGTGCCATCATCACAATGATATTCCAGTCGATGAGGCTCCGGCCATTCCTGGGAGACTCTACTACCGCTGCTGAAATCAGCAAAACCAATGAGTTCTCAGATGGTACGCGTCCCAGATGGTCCCCAAAAAGGATCGCAGCTCCTACTATTGAAGACACGTGCTATATTCATCCCTCTACCCCAAGTGTTCCTCATTCTTGGCGCTTGCACATGTGTGACATTCAATCAAGCTGCTCGTCCCTCCGCAGGAGGTTCACCCCGGTGTTGGCCATCGCACCTCGCTTCGGACGAGATGTTTCCGTTGGCTTCGGTGGCCCATCCAACTCGCTCGGAGGGTGGCCCAAAACCCTCTCCATCATGTGTGCTCACCCCTCTCGGATCGCTCGGCAGTTTGCCATTCAAGTCACTGACACGGAGAGGCTAACGGTCCTTTTCTGTGCTACGCTTATATATATGTCGGAGCAATTGCTTGTGAAGCGCTGCGCTATCAGCAGAAAATTTGGAAAACGCACCTTTCTTATGAAGGCCACTCAAAATCTAGGGCCCTTGCCCTGATCCCATCGTGCGAGAGTAGCTTGCTCATTTTTTCGCTTTGCCCTGGCCCTTTTGGGCCTTGCCACCGGGTTTCTTGGGCTTGCCACCGGGTTGCTGGTCCTTTTGACCATCCTTTCCTTTGCTTGACACACAGTGTTTCTTCATATCTTTCAACCCATCGATCACATCCATGGCATCGATAAGGGCTAGGCCCGCCTGTAGGAGGAAAGCCGCCTGACCAGCACCAGGGATAAACCAAAGAGCCACCGTCGCATTGATCTGAGCAATCATCTTCGACCACTCCCACCAGCTCTTGTCTTTTAAGGATTCCTTGAGAGCTGCAGAAAAAATGCCCTCGTCATAGAGGACCTTCAAGATATCCCTGACGTCTAATGCCACTTTGGTATAATCATCAAGTTTATCCATCTGCCTCACTATGTCAAGGATCAAAGACACCGCTCTGGAGTTGGTCTGGACCATATCAGCCACAAGGGCTCCACCGGGTATTTCAATGCCAAGAATTCCGAAGGCCAGCCCCATACAACCCACGGCCACCTGGACACTGGCCCCAACACACGCAGGATTCTCTGTTTCAATCAACATCAGCGAGGTGCCATTCACTGGGCTCGCTGGAATCACTTGAAGGGCTTGAGTCACTGGAGGCTGAGGCAAAGCAAATCGTGCCGGAGCGAGGTGGCAATTCGCCGATGTCAGTATCATCGAAGACCAGCGCAGTGATCAAAGGCTCATGAACGATGAGTTGCATGCATTCTTCAGGATACCAGCGGCACGCGATTGCTATGCCAGCCCGAAGATCTGCACGTGTCAAGTTGTTCTTGGTGGTCTCACTCTCAAGCGTCTCAAGCACCTGCACATCCTCCGCAGAAATGATGCCATCACTGTTCCGGTCGAAACGATCAAAGGCCGACGTCCAACACTCACGGGTAAAGCCTTGAGAAGGCTTCCCTTGGCACGCGAGATCCCTCAAGGTAAAGTCCGTGAAGACTTCACTCATCCACAAGGGGCGTGAATGGCGATTGGCCACACGAAGTGACTGATGATTCAGCAAGCTCGTGACATCTGCCCCGCTTGGGCACTCCGATGCAGAGGCCACGGCGAGCAGATTCACCAGCAAGGGAAGCATGGCTCCGCTAACTTGCGCGGCACCCTGGAAATGGGATCTATTAGAGCTCTTCAGCTACCCAAATTCTTGGGGCAAAAAAATACGGTATACGGGTGCATCGCTTGCTTTGCATCAGATTCAGATTCCGCATCATGAGACATCCTGAGATAATGCAGTCTCCCCGCGGTCTCCCTGCGGTCTCTTCTCCCGCCACACCTCCAAGCACGGTGATGTTCGACAGCGCCACGGCATGCCGAGGCCCTGTGATACCGAGGCCACAGGGTCGAACGAGCGAAACAACGAGGGTGTGAGGCCACCGGTCCGATGTGCGTCAAAAGGGTCTTGTCGGGTGCCAGGACATGTTCCAACTTGTGATGCAGTGCGCAATTTGCTGCTTCAGTCCAGATGACACCATGATATGATATCGATAGGTGGAACATGGTGGAACTCGCTTGGGAGACCACCCCCCTTGGAATCTGGCGGAAGCGGAGGAAGAGCATGTAGAGTGGCACCTTCCGTTGGCTCAAGATGCTCTGTGAGAGCAATGTGCATCATGCGCTCTCTGTGTAAAGAAGTGTCCCAAGTCTCTTTGGCCGTGCTCGTCACACTTCGGCACATCAACGGCTTTCGAAAGAGGGGTGCTCTATAGGATATAAGTGTTTAGAAAATGCAAAGAAGACTCAAGACACCGGTCCGTTGCAAAAAGCGCCTCATCGTCTCATCGTTCCATCTCCACGTTGAACATGCATGAAACATGCGAGATTCTTATCCACCTCGTCTACCTCTTCCCACATGCAACACTCTAAGGACTGTGATTCTGTGTCCGACACCCCGCGTCTGTCGAACGTTCCCGCGCCCGGTCTCCCGCGTGCGGTCTCCCACCAGGATGCCGCCACCGCCCACGCCACCGCCGGCCGCGAGGATCTGACCTCAGGCTGAGGAGGTGTCTGTTTCATTCGACCCTCCCTGAAACAATCATGGAAGTGGAAAAACACCCTATAGGGTGTTGAGAAGAAGAATGGAAAACAGTCTTCCAAGGGGACATCTCTTCCACCGAACGATGTTTCACTGAGGGTACCAGCCGTTTGCCGCGAAATGACCTGAGTGTTTCTTTGGATCACTTATCTTGAAATCACCTGTAATGCACCCCTCAGGTCTTGATCATCTATCTATCTTCCAACTGTGGGAAAAGGGTTGCCAAGACATCCAGGAGTGGACTCGGAACTTGACATTCTAACACCAGTGCATCCTATCTCCAGTCTACCCAAACAAATCTCAACCCCAATCCCGCAAAAAAAAAA